GGAATTACCACCCTTACTTCTGCACAGCCTTCAGCGCTGGGCAGCTGACCAGCCACCAGCAGCGTGTGCCATGGCACCCTTATTCCTGTCCTGCTTCCTTCAGAGCTATGCAGTTGGAGTACCGCAACACCCTTTCCAATAACCTTACACACACACCCTCCCCACACACACACACACACATACAAAACTCTTTTTTTGGGTCAGGATCTCCACAAGTAAAACATCACAAAAATTCAGATTTAAATAGCTGAAATAATGAAATTTATTATTTTAAAATTCCTAAGACCGTGAAATTGACCAAAATGACCAGGAATTTGTTAGGACCGTACACATGAATCTTGTTAAATCTGAAACCTAAAGATAACAATCTTGCAGCATACTGAAAACTAAAATTCTGGGGATAGTATAAAATAAACTGAATTTAATATCAAAGCAAGCAACAAAGAGGTTACTCTATCGTTATTCATTTTTATATTTACTTAAAATCCTCAGAATAAAAATTGCATCTGGAACTGCTACAGAATTTACAGAGAGCCACAGAATCTCAAGTCTGCAACAGAATTGAAGTTCAGCTTGCTGCAAATAACACATTTCTGAAATGAAAATTTAAAAGCACATCTATTCCCTTAATATCAAAGTGCTGGCTACATACACAAAGCTCACAAAACAGAGTTAAAAATAGGCACAGAAAAATGGAAATTCCAAAACTAAAAAGGCTTCATTATGCACAACATACATTTTAGACTATTTTATAATACAGTAAGAGAACAAGGAGAAGTATTACACAGACATTAATATAGGAAGAAAATGTGTTTGCCTCATTGGTCCCACATGCCTCTCACTGAAAATAACTGGGAGAATCTGCAAAGCTCCCACTTTTTCCAATGGACAGTACTATAATTGTACAGGCAAACGCTAAATCTCTGAGAAATACAACTGAAGAGACTGAACAACTAGATGGCTTAGTTAGACTGGAAAAGGGAAAGTACCTTGTAGCTCACCAGTTAAAAATTAGCTCAGGTAAGATCGACAGAAAACCATTAGCACCTGAAGGCAGTTCAGTGCCCTAAGTGAAAAGCATTGGTGCTCTCATTCCTACTGGAAAGTTACAGAATAATCACAAAAACCACTATCATAACAGGCACCTACTGGAATGCCTGTTAACAGTTGCAGGAAACAGGCAAAGAACTGAATGTGTATGGAAACAGAAAACCCTTTCATCCTACAGGTGGTCCCTCCTCAAGAATAGATCAAGGTGGACTGGAGAAGCTTCCACTGCTGCTGCCCTTAGTGTAACTGTTCTGTGAAAAAATTTCAGTCTCCAGGCCTGTCAATCTTTCACCCCTCAGGAGCATTACATTCACTAAAAAAGTTAAAACCCAAACTGCAGAGACATCTTTCCTTTTCCTGAAAAAAAAGCCAAAAGAAAACACTACTACTTCTAACATTTATTTGATGATGAAGAATTGAAACAGACTACCTAGAGAAAAAACAAAAAACAGCAACACAGAGAAACATAAGGAAAGAAAAGCTAACAAACAAGAGAGGTTCTGGCAAAATCACAAACAACAAAAGTGGAGTTAAGAGGTCAGTCAAGAGCATTCAGGAATACAATTACACAATATTGTGTCATTGCTCTATGTGCTTTATATGAGCGAATTTCTACTGTACAGATTTCTGTTTAAAATCAATATCCCACATATTGAATTGATCTGAGGAAGTGGGCCTGGCCCACGAAAGCTCACCACCTAATAAACCATCTTGTTAGTCTTTAAAGTGCTACATAGTTCTGACTTTTGTTTCAGCTAGGCCAGACTAACACGGCTGCATCTCTATCACTATTCCACATATATCCAGTTAGTAATACTAACTAGAACATACTGAAATATGGCTATGTCACACGGACATCAATGGAATGTCTGTCCTTTAGATTTTTAGAAACAATGGAATAAAAATGCAAGTTGATTAATGGATTGCAATGATTCCATAGGAGAGGATGCTTTGCAATTCTCAAATGCAAAGCTAATGTAATTACTAGAATCCACAAATTAAATAAGTTCAGTGCAACTTACTTCAGTCAATGTATTCTAATATTTCAAATTTTAAAACTTTTTAAAAAATATTTTGGATGTGTCTACTATTAAAAAGCCATCTATATTAAACTCTTACAATGGTTAAAAAATGCTTACTAAACAGGGCTCAATCCTGCAAGGTGCCTGATCTAAACTACCATCCATATCTGCATTAGTTTTTCTATGATGTCAGACTGGTGGGCTGCAACTCTGATATTAGAATTAATATGCCTATTTTATATGTATGTATTGACTTAAATGGGAGTTGAGAACATTGTCTAGCTTATCATACAAAGGACCAATGCATCAGAATATTATTAACCATATTTTAGTTATTTTTATGTAAGTAAACAGCCTGAACTGTTTTGGGAGGGTTTTAAGACCCACCATCACAATCACTGTGATGTCAGAGTGATGGACTATGAATCTGATGTCAGAATTAATGTATTTTAAAGTATATCTTATTATACATGTAAAGTCAGAGACCCATACTCTCTCTCTCTCTCTCTCTCAATTTATAGTATAATATACAGGCAACTGAACTATTATATAATATACATGCCACCTCAAAGCATTCTGATGTTACCATGGTAACCACAAGACTACTTTGTGTCTATCAGGAGAGCTTTGCAGTATAGCCCAGCAATATCAATCAATAGCATGCAATTTTATTGCCACTGGGACCAATACAAGTGCTGTTCTGGACACAGAATACCAGAAAGGCAAAATATAAATATATATATATATATA